GGAGGCGAGGAGGAGGAGGAGACGGAGGAGGAGGAGGAGGAGGAGGAGGAGGAGGAGGAGGAGGAAGAGGAGGGGGGGAGGAGGACGGAGGACGGAGGCGGTGCAGGAGGACGACGACGTACGACGACGACGAGGACACGAGCACAGACGCCAAGGGCGACGGCGCAGAGTTCGCTCCCGGGCAGGCGCGGGGCACCACCGGCCCGAAGGTAGAGGAGTTCACCCGAGACATCCTCCGAATCCTGAGCGAGCGTTTCGCCCAACACATCCTCCACACACCCTCCTGGTCCCATGCCCCCCCCGACTCCACCCGAGCCTCGCGTTTCCCTCATCCTTCGCCGGTCTCCCGCCTCCTGATCGGAGCTCTTGGTCCCTGCTCCTGCTCCTGCTCCTGCTCCTCCTCCTCGCTCCTCCTCGCTCCTTCTCGCTCCTCCTCCTCCTCCTGCTCCTCCTCCTCCTCCACCTCCTCCTCCTCCGGCTCTTCGCTCCTCCTTCCTCTCATCCCTCCCTCCTGCTCCTGCTCCTGCTCCTGCTCATGCTCCTCCTCTTCCTCCTACTCCTTCTCCTCCTGCTCCTCTTCCTCCTCCTCCTCGCCTCCTCCTCCTCCTCTTCTCCTCCTCCTTCTCCTCCTCCTCCTCCTCCTCCTCCTCCTCCTCCTCCGTCCTCCTCCACCTCATTCTCCTCCATCTCCTCCTCCTTCTCTTCCTCCTGTTCCTCTTCCTCTCGTCTTCTCGTCTCTCTTCTTTCATGCTCTCCTCTTCCCTAACCTCGTCACTCTTCACAAATGTCCCTTCACCTCATCAGATTCCAACCCTCTGTCACCCTCCAACCCTCCTGCTCTTCCACAGGCGGGGAGGGAGGAGGCATGTGTTCACCCCCCCCCTCCAGACCTCACGGGGAGAAGGGCCAGCTCCGTATCACAAACCCTCAAAGATCCAACCTCCATCCTCGACCCAGGAGGGGCTGTGGCCAGGGTATCTTTTTGGTCCCTGGTGCCTTTGCCCGCGCCCACGGGGCACGCCTGCCAGAGGCCCTTTTTGGCTGCGGCGGCCTCCTTCTCCAGCTGAAGGATCGTCGCGGCGTAGCGGACGTTCGGCTTAATTTCCATGTGCCGCGCCGCCCCCTGCTTCACCTGAGCATAGTCACACTGTCACACTCGTGTCCCTCCCCCCTCCTTTTGCCAGCTTCTGCCAGCGACGACAGATCCGCCAGCGTGTCCCATGGCACGTCGAGGCGTGGTAGACTGGCAGGCGCTGCCTGGTCTGATTGCCGCATCCCTCCAGGGGGCCACCCCCCTCTCGAAGCACTTCGCCGCTGCACCGCCCCCCATCCCGAGGCCAGGATCCCTCCCGCCATCCCGAGGCCGCGATCAAGGTGGCCAAAGATGGCCACAGGGCGGCCAAGGATGGCCTCAGGCTGGCCGAAGACCCTCCAACACGGCCCAAGTGGGCGGCCAGAGGACCCCCAAGAGAACCCGACGCAATTCAGATCGGTGGGCTGCCTCCAAACATGCGAACGCATTTGACGTTCTACCCTGTTTCAAGAGTCCGTCAATTCAATATGACCCAAGACGCATCCACGATGGCCCACGAAGTCCTCAAGAAAACTCCAGGTCGACCCAAGACGAACCCGTGATGGCCCTAAGAGGCATCCAAGCAAGCCCCAAGGCGGCCAAGAAAGGCCTCTAGAGAGACCCGAGATGGCCTGAATACGCCCTTCGGCGGCCACAACACAACACAGACACAGACACAGACACGGACAAAGACACAGACACAGACACAGACACAGGCACAGGCACAGGCACAGGCACAGGCACAGGCACAGGCACAGACACACAGACACAGACACACAGACACACAGACACACAGACACACAGACACAGACACAGACACAGACACAGACACACACACACACACACACACCCTGAGGGTCTCGCGTGCCGGATTTCAGCCCGGCAGAAGATGGGGGAGGTTTGAGGAAACGGTCGTAATCCGACATAACATATTCATGTTATGTTCACAACATGTGTTATATAAACGTACATAATTAGCACGCAAGTAATATTTAAGTACGGATCAGCACGTTGAGATGTAATTTGCAACATATGCATAAAAATCAACACGCGCCAAACAATGATTCGACACGTCTGAAGGACAGGTTTGGGAGGGAAATATTATCATAACGTTTTTTTCGATAATGCGCACGTTGCGCGGGAATGTGACACCAGCTGCCGAGACAGCCAACGGCATATAGCTGTGGATGTAAGCTAGATGGCGCAATGACGTACGAAACAACGTATATTGCTATGTGCAGCAATAAGTCGTGACATCATTTTGCCATACTACTTCTACGATTAAGTTAATGAGTGCATTAATTACTTCCTTTGTATGAATTATTGTTATTATTGAGACACCTTAGCAATTTCGAACACACGGGGATATTTCCTGTGCTCTGTAATATAGTGAACTTCGGCCCCTGCTCAAGATATCCCTATGAATCTGAGCATGCGGGAGTAATTGTAGTCGACGTCGTCGCCGACGTCGTCGTCGAACACGTTTTTATAGTAAGGTTTTGTGTTTGTTATAGTTGTGTTTGTCTTGTGTTTTTGAACTGCAGGACGTTGGTCCCTCCAAGGGGAAAGTCGTGTCGTGGCTCCTGGCGGCAGGCACGGGGTGCCCGCAAAGCTTGCACTGTCGTGCAAGCGGTGACGCTTGCTCACTGTGCACGCAAGCGTCGGTGTTGCCAGTTGCCAGATTATTGTGCTCTAGATTCTAGATCGTGCTGTTCGGCGTGCGCGTGGTGCTGCGCGGAGTCCTGTCCGATGGGGAGGCTGGCGACTCCACTAGAAAAAACTCTTCTGCTGATGATGTCCGCTGGGCTGAGAAGTCCTTCCACTTGGACGGGTCCTTCACCTTCCAACCGTACGGGACCCAGCTCTCTGGGTTGTTCGGGTCCCACGGGATAGATGGTTCCAGCCCGTTCTCCGTCTTGGTAGCTTCAGTCGTGTAGTCGATCCACCCTTGAGTGTTCTTGATTTGCCAGCCGTACGGGACCCGCGTTTTCTCGTCATCTGGGTCGAACCAGTGAAGGGAGCATGGGTTCACCGCACGCTTGTTGTAGTCCAAGTTCTCGTCCTCCTGCGACTTCGTGAAGTCGCGCTCCATGCCAAAGGGCCCCGACATCGATATGTTGTCTGGCAGCACTGCCTTGGCACAGCTGATGTGGTCGATGGCCTTGTTGATCGTCTCGAGCTGCATCTTCATCATCGTGATGTTGGTGTTCAGCGACATGCACTTCGCTGGGGTGCCACACTGTTCCGCCTCGCCGCGGACAATGCTCATGACGAGTGATCGTTGGTGCTCCTTCAGCAACTCGTGTCCTGCCTGGAATGATTCCATGGCTGCGTTCACCACGCCCTTGCTGCTCTTCAAGATCTGCTGCGACTGGTGGATGCGGTAGTCGTCTGATCCGATCTCCTGCGCCCGCGGCCGACCTCCCTGCTCCATGGCCGAGCGATCCATGGGTGCCGGCTTGCGGCGCTGCGCCTGGGAAGTGGCGCCCTAGGCTGCGCTCGAAAGTTCGAGCCAAGACTGGCAACGGAGTGAAGGGCAGACTGAAGCCCTGACGCTTCTTAAGTCCTACGACATTCAACAACCACCACGAACCCCCTGGGCGTAGGTGGTTTAGGGAGCTTACTCTTCCAACCACAGTCTTCCCCTTCGGGGAGGGGTTTGCCCCGCTGCCCCACCCCCTCTCCTGGACATGGACGGGTGAAGGGGTGGGGGGTGGGGGGAGGTGCCTAGGGCGCCCAAACAGGCATCAGTTTTATTAAGGTGGTGGCCACGCGTTGGCCTCTTTGGGGGGAGGCGATGCGAATTGCAACCGCCGCCGCATTTGACCGATGTCCTCCAACATGGCCCCAAGAAATGCCCATGAGGCTCCAAGAGGCCCCGCCATTGCCCCACGATGGCTCGAAGAGGCCCCCATCACCAAGATGACCCCACGCTGGCCGAAGAGTCCCCACCCCATTCCCTGCGGCACCCAAGCCGCCCACGAGCACCCCAGGACCGCCAAGACGCCCAATAAGACGCACCAAGAGGCCACCAATAAGCGCGGTACCACAAGAGACTCCGATGGGCATCCACGAGACCTCGGGCCCTGTTGAGTGCCAGTCTCCTCCTGCACCGCAGTCATCCTCATACTCATGTCCTCCCCCCTCCTCCGCATCCTCATCCTCATCGTCTTCATCTTTCTCCTCGCCCCCATCATCAGCATCATATTCATCTTCCGTGTCCCCACTCATCCATGCATGCGTCTAAGCTCACCCTTGTTCTTCCTCCTACCTCCTTCGCGCGGTTCGGTGGGGGTCCATGCGTGCCCCCGCACTTGGTTGATCTCCTCAACTTGCTCGGGCGTCGTTTCTGGATGAGCTGGCGGGGATACGCGGAGCGTCCAGACTTTCAACGGGTGTCATTGGTTTCCCACGAGTTGTGCAACCGATGCGTTGGTTATCGTGTGCAGCTGCTAACTCAGAGACTACGTAAATGCACGCATGCGAGTACCCATAGCGTTTAACGTGCACGCCATCCACATGCTGTAGTGTTACACTTACCCCAGCTCATCGCAGCATCAATCATGATTACGTTTCAGAACGGACGCGATACAATACAATGTTGACGTTGTTTCGGTCCGGGGCGATGTATGTTTGAAGGGTGGCACGAGGATAATGATGACGTGTTGCGATGGACATGCGCAGTACATCGTTGGATGATGATGGTGATGATGCGGAGGAGGTGGACGGATGCATCGCCGATTGGCCCACGGGATGTCGTTGTTTGTTGTCAGGGGGATGGGGCAAGGATGCGGATGAGGTGTTGGTATTACTAGAACTAAGATAGCATTGGGAGGTGAGGGTGACGATGAGGAGGTGGAGGATTGATGCACCATGTGTTTACTGCAACCCTTGAGCTCAAATAGCTCGAGCGCAACACCATCTTCAACATGTCAATCAGATTCTGAACCCTCTATCTCGACAGGGCCGTCTGACGGCCACGTCGGCACAGCACTGCCACCAGCTCTCAGTGTTAGCGCAGCTAGCCCTTGAGCGAATCCAGTCGGACTGGGCATAGGGTCCTGCGGGTGTGCGCTGATCTCACCGCTCGCCGACTCTGTGTCCAACCGTCGCCACCCCCGTGCCTAACGCGCAAACCAAACAACTAAACAGGAGGCCCCAAACAGGCCCCATGAGCTGCACCCACCCCTTGATTTTAACATGCTGGAAATCATGAGCCCGCCAGGTTCCCACACCCGAAAGTCCGATGAGCCAGCAGCCGCGGTGCTGGATGCCATCTGTGGCCTCGAGTCGACGAGCGTGGAGATGAGGGCATCTGGCAGGTTCGTGGCTATGCTCATCTCCACGAGGCTGGCACAACCAAACTCCGCCTGGTGAATTGTCACAAGTCGTGCGCCAACCATTTCAAGAACCCGCTTGACTGGTGGATAGTCGTAAAATTTGGACCCGGACGACTGCACGATTATGAAATACACGCCCCTAGTGTGCGCGATCCACGAGAGCATCGCAACTGCACAAGCAATGGTGTTCGTGATCTTTGCACGTGCATCATCGGTCGAACCATGAATATTGACATGTCTTCCAGCAGTGAACCACTTGGGAGTACTCCAGCACGAACTATTTGGCCTCATGAGAACCGTACCGCCTGCGCGCACTGCGTACACCAACTTACATGCATAAGCGATCCCTGTAGTAGTGCTGAGATTTTCTGTCCAATGCCGTGTATCAACATCGAACTCGCGCACTCGGTGGTCGCCAGCGTACCTGAGCCAGAACGAGTAATCTCCACGACCAGAATACAGCTCGATCGCCATGTATACTCGTGCCGTGGACGCGTAGTGCCGTTGCACATGCATGGTTGCCGCATCGACCATGACAAACTCTGGAGCATCGACTGGCACATGCGTGTTGGCGTATACATCCTCGCGAAATTCCCAAGGAATGCCCTTGGGCGCCGCATGTTTGTCAATCCAAACAGGTATTTGCGAGTGAGGCTGCCCAACCAACGCAAGCCTAGATTCATCGGCGTCATATGTTTGTCCATTGCAGCACAAATCCCT